TCCCGCGGACATGTCGCCTCTCTGGCTTGTTCTGTTTAGGCCAGAGAACAAACTCTGAGCGGTGAGGAGATGAAACCCACGTGCTAGAAATGCATGTAAGTCTCCACCGCATCTGCAGGAACTTTTTAAAATTCCCAGACTAATATGAAATGCATTTCATAAACAGTAACAAAGATGATTTACAGGGGCCCAGTGGCGGTGCAGCCGTGAGACATGACATTCTGCCAAGTGGACCCACATGCAAAGGTTCCAGGTTCATGCCCAGAGGCGTCCTGAGTACTCTAGGTGGGTGTGTGCCCACCACTAGGATCTGGCGGGGACTGGGGTGGACAGTGGTGTCACTGACATCATGGTTGGGGGTGCTGTCTCTGTCTGTTTGTGTGTGTATTTCACTCATAGAAGAAATAGACTTCTAAAAAAAGAATGATGTAATTTTATTTATTATTATTATATATTTTTAAAGTTTGCAATAGGGTATGTATGTTAACCAGAGAGACAGACAGAGAAAGAGCGAAAGCAAGAAAGCAAGCTGCTGGGTCCAGGACTCGAACCACAGTTGCCATGTGGTGGGAGTTCAGTGCCTTAAGCACCACACCACCCGTTGACTCCGAAATAAATACACTTTTTTTTGGGCGGGGGGAGGTTGTTTTATGGCCATAGGTGCTGGCCGGAGAGAGACAGTGAGAGGGAAAGTGAGAATGGAGGAGAAGGGGTTGTTGCAGTGTGGCCATCGTCTCTCAGCGGTGATTCCTCACTTTCCCTCTGCCATAGCACCCTATGGCAACAAACTAAAAAACAAACCATTCAGATTCCTGGGCTCCATCCCCAGTATTTCCTGAGTAGGACTGGGGTGGGCACTTTGGACGAGGTCCCCGCTGGTGCCGCTGCTGGTCAAGACCCATTTTGAGACCCCCACATTAGAGCAGCTCGCCCCACCAGATCTGACAGCATCTCACACGCTGGGGCAGAGGCTGCGTGGCTTACTCACAGTCTGAAGCAGCTTATTAAAATGCTCCCCAGAGCCTACGGTGCTGTTGCCATGGCATGTGCTCCTTTGCACTCTGCTGCTGCCTCGCTGGACATCCGTTAGAGGAGGCTATACTCTGAGACATCTATAAGTTCCTGGGATATTCTGGGTTGAAAGTCTTCATTCCATTAAACCACCTGTTCACTTACCACTCATCTCTAGAATCCTCATTTTTCACACTGGACTTTTAGAACTATTACTTTCATTGTTGCTGTTGGATTCTCAATCTCAATTTCTGAGACTTTTTCTATTTTAGCTCGCTAAATAAAAATCATTTTTAAAAATAGGCATAGTCTAGATCTTCTGCATCACTTAGAATGAAGCGCTGTTAGGGGATTTCAGTTGCCGTGTTTACATCTTTGCACCAGCACCAGGCAGAACTGCTACCATGTTCTAAACTACCCTTAATACCTAACTGATTCAACTGCACAGAATGAAGGTCACGGGGCCCTATGCGACCAAAGGTTTCTCTGAGATTCAGAGTAATGGTGGGAGAGTTAAATGGTAGGCAAGCACAGTGAACTCGGAGCACTTGCAGGCAGGCTGCCACTACCTTATTCCCATCTAACAGCAACTTAGTTTTTGCAAAAATCATCAATTGGCACTAGGATCCACAATAACTGTTTTCCTTTAAAAGGAGTTAATAAACCACAATGGTTTGAGAAACACTAATCAATTTCCACTTACTTTGAGTATTTTGTTTTTTGAGAGTTTTTTGCTATAGGGTGTGTGCACTCTCCAGAAAGACAGAGACAGACAGAGAGACAGAAGTGAGAAATCACCCCCTGGGGGGATGGCCACGCTGTGATCCCTTCTCCTCCACTCTCCTCTAGGCATCTTGGGTATGCATGTATATGTTTCTGGTGTGAGTTTAAGCCACCAGGTCCGGGACTTGAACCGCAGTCGACTACATGGGGGTCCACCAATCTAGCCATTATGCCAACTGCTGATTCTTTTCAGTTTTATGTCTTCATAGAGAGGATAGTCTTTACACAGACTATGTTTAAAAAAAAAAAAACTGAAATTAAATGCTTCAGCGATAATGTCCTCTCAGTAAATGAGTTGTTAATCCTCGTTTCATCACCATTTCTATAGGGTGGGCTCAGAGTTGTGGGACTGACAACACCAAATACGGGTGAGGACATGGAGCAATCGGAACGCTCATAGATTGCTGGTGGAGTGCCAATTCGTTCACTCTTTGGAAAACTATTTGAAAGTATCTACTAAAATTAAATGCACATGGACCATAAAGAGACAGCAATTTCATTCCTAAATGTTTACCCAAGAGAAATGAGTGTTTATGTTCATAAAAACAATAGATATACAAAAATGTTCACGGCAGCTTTATTCATTAAATTCCCAAACTGGAAATAACCCAAATGTCCATTACCAGGGGTTTACACCAAGAAACTACTGTATATTCAATGGAATATTAAAAAGTAATTACTGATATGGACAAAAATATGAATAAAGCTCAGACGCATTATGCTGAAAGGAATAAAAAAGTTAAATATAAGATACTACATAGTCTCATGTAAAATTTAAGAACAGGCTGGGGGCCAGCAGGTGGTGTGGTGGTTAATGGCGCTGAACTCTCACATGGCCGACCACAGTTTGAGTCCCAGACCTGATGGCTTGCTTTCTCACTTTCCCTCCCTCTCTCTTTTGCTCTGTCCCTCTCCGGTCAAATTTAAATAAGTAAATAAAGTTAAATAAAAATAATTTAAAATATATATAAAAAGTTTAAGAACAGGCAAAATGAATCTATGGGGACAGAAATCAAATAGCTATTGAGGGCACTGATAACGCGGCAATATCAAAGAACATTCCGTACTATTCACTGAGAGAAGTCAGGATGCATTTTTCTATGTTTTTAATGCCAAAATGGGTCATGACTCTCTTGATGACTCAATATATTCTTGAACTGAGCGATAGTTACACATATAAATACAGATATAGAAAAGTTACTGAGCTGGGACCAGCAGCTGGCATAATGGTTATGTTGCTGGACTCCCATGTAGTTGACCACATTTCGAGTTCTGGACCCAGTGGCTTAAACTCACGCCAGGCGTGTGTGTGTATGCATGCCCAAGATCCTGAGAGGAGAGTGGAGAAGGGACTGTGGCGTGGCCATCCCCTCCAGGGGGGGGTGCTTTCTCGCTTTCTGTCTCTCTGTCTCTGTCTTTCTTGCGAGTGCACGAGCCCTACAGCAAAAAAACTCTCAAAAAAAAAAAAAAAGTTACTGAGCTGTTTATTTAAGATTTTCTCCCTTTAAATTATAGCAAAAAAAAATGTTTGCATTTTTGTAAATAATTGTAGGTATTTGATAATGAAAATTAAAGTTTCTACAAACTTGGAAAAAGCTGCTTTTTCGGTAAACAAATGACCAGCAATTTGTCTCTGCAAGCCAATCAATTGCTGCTGTCTCAATTCTGAAGGTCAATTAGGAACAGACTTACCCCAGGAAACACCTGAGTGCCAGTCAACCAATCACAACCATGCCCCCCGCGGGAGGCCAACCCACTGTAGTCTGAAAGTGTGCCAATCCCTGAATTCCATACTTCTCCAGAACCCCTTTTAAGAAACTGGTCCCTTCTGCTGGGAGAAACTACCTAGCCAGCACGGCCCTCTTTTATTACAACAAGTATTAAATTCAGATTTGCCTTTTTGCTTCAGATACTGACTGGTGGTCTCATCATCCTTTCATGACGAAGAAAATGTTTAGTAATTACATACAATACATACAAGGAGATGTCAAGCAGTTCACGAAAAAATGTACTTTTTTTGAGGGGAGAGGTTTTTGCTATAGGGTGCGTGTGCTCACCAGAAAGAGAGAGACAGAGACAGCGAGAAATCACCCACCAGGGGGGATGGCCACGCAGCAATCCCTTCTCCTCCATTCTCCTCTCGGGATCTTGGGCATGCATGCACACGTGCCCGGTGTGAGTTTAAGCCACCGGGTCCAGGACTCGAACCACAGTCGACTACATGGGAGTCCAGCAACTTAGCCATTATGCCAACTGCTGGTCCCAAAAAATGGAATTTAAATATGAGTTTATTTTAATGCAAAAAAAGCTGAAATCCGTGCTTAGTTGTTTCATAATATATATTTTCCATGAACATGAACTTTTTGAAGACCTTTGTGTGTTTGTTTTTTGTTTTTTAAAGAGAGATTTTTCCTATAGGGTGTATACACTTGCCAGAGAGACAGAAAGCGAGAAGTCTTCTCCCAGGGAGGATGGCCATGCCGCAAACCCTTCTCTTCCATTCTCCTCTCAGGATTCTGGGCATGTACTGACACGTGCCCAGTGAGTTTTAAGCTGCCAGGTCTGGGACTCAAATTGTCCCATATGTTTACTTTTAAGTAAAGGTATTTCACTGTTGATACATATTAAATAATAGTAATTAGGATCAAAATATTCTCTCTAGATAAATATTCATGCATTCTGTTGAACTGAATATGATTCACTATCCAATAATCTCATAAGTATCTGCTTCGATTTACTTTGTTTAAAAAATTTCAAATAAACATTCCTTTCTCTCTTTTGTTTGGACCTGCCTTCAGAATTATTTTGGAAACAATATTTAAAAATGTATCTCTGCCTAGAGATTTTAACATATAGAGCATCTAAATTCTCTCTTAATGTCAGGTTTGAGTTTCATTTCTGCTAGTTTGTGGGAAATTCTCTTTGATGGACAAGGCTGAAATAAAGAAAGCCCTCTATTTATTCTTGGGATTGTTCAAGTACAGTGAGAGTTTCTGAATATATATCAGGGTTAGTATTGGCACATTCTCAACTGCAAGGGAGTTTTGAGACTCTCATAAAGTAAACTTCCTTTTTATGAACTTACAATTCTAAATATCAGTAATTACAACCAAAGTATTTACTCAGTCTCTGTTTTAGCCCATTTAGGCTGCTATAACAAAATACAATAAACCAGGTAGCTTATGAACAAGAAATGTATTTCTTACAGTTCTGAGGGCTGGAAGTCCAAGATCCAGATGCCAGCAGATTCTGAATCTGGCTCACAGATACCATCTAACTGTGTCCTTCCTCCGGTGGCAGAGCAGCTCTCCAGAGTTGCTTCTATAAGGGCACTAATTCCATTCACAAGGGCTCTGTCCACTGGAACCATCGCCTCCCAAAGGCCCCACCTCCTAATTATCACGGTGGTGATTAGATTTCAAAGTATGCATTCAGGAAGATTCGCACACTCAGACCACAGCAGTGCCCACTAAGTCCAAATCACTGCTCCCACAGCGTCACCTGCTAAGAAATGAAACCCATTTCACCTTAGTTGCATGTATAAAAGACACAACTTTATGACTTTCGTGACATCCTTGAGCTGTTACTAGGGCTGACCCAGACCTGGGTATATCCGAGTGAGATAGCTGCTTTGCACACACAAGTTTGAGAAAATGGTGGTTCGCTCCTCCGTGTAAACACTCCATGGAAATTAATCAACTCGAGATGGGATGAGCTAAGAAGCTCTTGTCTTTTCAGCCAACACTACTGATGCCATCTTGAATTTTTAAAAACAAGAACTATAGCTTCTAAAAGCACAAGGTAAGAAAATAAAGTTTGAAGGCAGCCCAGAAAAAAACATGTTAGAGCCAGAACAAAGAAGAGGTTCGATTAGAAACAGGTTACTGAAGGCAGCCTTCAAGTAGAAAGCAGTCAGATCATGTCTGTGACTGTCGCAATACTTAACAGGTTACTTATGACACTTCAAAATCAATCTTTCGGCAAGACCCCACTTGAGAGACCTTGTGGCTCCCACGTGATCACCAGCTTCCGCTTCTGGCTGGCGTCCCATCCGCCTCTCCCCACTCCTCGGTGGAGTCGCAGCAGCAGACACACAGGGCAAGGGTGGGGAGGAACCCAGGCTTCACGTACTGCACATGAATGCCAAACGGCCGCACCCGCGGCATGCCCAGTTTCTCAGTGCCAAAGGCTTCTTGGTCATTATTTTGGTTTGTTTGTTTAATAGATTGGGCAGATTAGGAAATGCTGAGGCTTTTCTGAAAGTTATTGCAAACTCAAAAAAAGTCTCAAAATAGAAATGACATCATATGAACAAGTTTCTCAGGGTCCTAGGGTTACAAAGCTCTTTCTCTCTGCTGGTTAACCTACAAGAGCCTTCTAGCAGCCACACTGGGGACAAAACCAAAAATGATATGAGGTGGCTTTCAGGAAGGCTTATTGGTGTTCAGCCACTAATCAAAATGCTGAATCCATTCCAAACATTATATGTAACAGAGAGATTGACTTAGGGTTTTCTTCGTCTCTCTTTTTCTCTCTCTCCTTCACCCAAAAGGAAGTATCAGTATGATTCATTCTTCCTCTTGCAAGAATTTCCTTAATCCACCAAATTAGTAAGCACTGAAACAGAATCCTCAAATAAACTAGGATAGACCTAAAAGAAATCATGCTGAGAGCAAATTTTATGCAGTGAACGAAAGGTAATGTCTTTCCTCAGTTTCAGCTCTTCTAAGTTTCCTGGGCTTCAAACCTGATTTTTGTTTCATTTTCAGATGAACTCTGAATTCACAAATAACTCTCCCCTTTTACTTTACCAATTTCTCCCACTTACCAATTTCTCCCACTTCACACCAATTTATATTTGTATCTATTTATTAAGAGCCTATCACATTTTACATACTGTCCTGGGCAAAGACAGGGCTGGACTGGAGAGGTAGGATGTAGAAAGAGAGAAGGGACCACAGACACGAGAAGAAAAGAATTGGAGAAAATTGCTTAGAAATGATTCTTACTCTTGTTCTCCCCTTTACCAATATTCCTCACATTTGATTTTAAGAGACTGTAAAAATCAAAGATAAAGGGCTTGACAGTGGCTCAGCGGTAAAACACGACACTCCGTGAGGCTGACCAGCATGGGAGGCTCCACGGCTGCCTCTGGAGGCCCTTCCAAGTAGAAGGACACACCTGTGCCCACGCCCCAGCACTGGCTGAAGCTGGGGGTGGGTCATGGCACCAGGACCCTTTTCAGCATGCTCTCTGTTTCTCTCACTCATAGAAGAAAATTTTTAAAGAAGAAGAATTAAAGACATGACACATACAGCAGAGACTTGATGAAGTTCTGAAGTAAAATATAAGTACATGGTTACTATTTTTCAGTTTTCATTTGATACACTATTGCTTCCTCTCAACTTACAAAAATGGTAGCCAACAAAGTTGGGTACATGGCCAAAGTAAATCTTTCTCTCTGCTGGTTAACCTAAGAGTCTTCTAGCAGTCACACTGTGGACAAAACCAAATATGATATGAGGTAGCTTTCAGGAAAGCCAGTTTCTTGGCCTAGTGGTTAAGGGAGTCAGATCCCACATGGTCAACTGTGTGGTTTGAATCCCGGCCTTAGAGGCTTGAAAATCCCCACCAGATGGAGAAATGGAGAAGGGATTGTGGTGTGACCACACCCCATTGGAGGTTGCTTTCTCTCTTCCTCTCTCTGAAAAAATTTTAAAAATTAAAAATCTGACTGGCAACTGAATCTAGTCCTGTCAACTTCAGTACAGTCCGACTGGTACACTGAAAAGAAGCCATCACTGGGATGTCTTTTTTTTTTTTTTTTAACATCGACAGGTATGCAAAACACTATCCTTCAGCAATGCTATTATGTCAACCATTGTTAGCAACGAAGATTAAGAAGATTAAAAGTACATCACTATTCAACTGGAAATGTATTTATATAGAACAATATTCCCCCATGAGCTGTCCCTGCAGCACAGTGGTTGGGGAACTGGATCCTACATGGCTAACTGCAGCTAGAATCTCAGCCTCAGCAGCTTAAAAAACATGCCAGGGGGACCAGCAGGTAGCATAGTGGTTAAGGCGCTGGACACTCCCACATGGCTGACCACGGTTCGAGTCTCAGACCTGCTGGCTTGCTTACTCACTTCTCTCTGTCTCTCTGTCTCTCTGTGTCAAATTAAAAATAAGTGAATAAATAAATAAAATTTAATAAATAGTTATTTAGAAAAAAAAAATGCCAGGTAAATGTGTGTGCCCCAAATACCAAAAAGATAGAGGAAAGAAAGAGGATAGCAGTGTAGCCACATGCTGCAAAGGGATGCTTTCTCTTTCTCTGGTGGGTGCACGTATACTCTGGCAATTAATAAAAAGAAAAAGAAAAGCATTTCCCCGAATGAGGAAACTGTGCTGGGAGAAATCAATTGTTTTCAACCAAACATACCTGAATGGAGACCAGAAGATGGCATAATGGTTACTTTGCTGGACTCCCACACAGTCGACTGTCGTCTGAGTTCTGGGCCTGGCAGCTTAAAACTCATGCCAGGTGCATGTGCAAATGTGCCCAAGATCCCGAAGGGAGAATGGAAGCGAATGGATTGTGGCATGGTCATCTCCTCTGGGGGGTGATTACTTCCTTTCTGTCTCTCTCTCTCTCTGTCTTTTCTGCCGGTGTACATGTCCTATAGCAAAAACTTCTCAAAAAACAAAACAAAACAAAAAAACACACAAAAAAACAAAAAACCCTGGATGAAGGTGTACACAATTTTCATTACTGATATTTGCAGACTGGTCAACTAACATTTTTGCATTGTTTCAGCATTCTAGAGACTTTCATTTTTTTAAAGGATTATTTTATTTAACATTATTATTTGTTTTTTTAGAGGTCTTTGCTATAGGGCATGTGCGCTCGCCAGACAGAGAGAGACAGAGAGATGGAAAGCGAGAAATCACCCCCCAGAGGGGATGGCCACGCACCAATCCCTTCTCCTCTTCGGGATATTGGCACGCACACACATGCACCCAGCGTGAGTTTTAAGCCACCAGGTCGACTACATGGGAGTCCAGCGACATAGCCATTACACTAACTGCTGGTCCCTTATTTAACATTATTTTAAAATTTGATCAGAGAGAAAGTGAGAAAGCAAGCCACCAGGTCTAGGACTTGAACTGCAGGCGGTCATGTGGGAGTCCAGCACCTTTAACCAGCACACCACCTGCCATCCCCTCTAGAGCCTTTTAAAAAGTAAGGTTTTGCTACAACATGAGAGACTACTCTAAGGGAATACCGTAACTAAATACCAAAATAAACTCGCAAGGTACAGAAAATGTCAGAGATGGGGCCAGCAGTTAGCGTAATGGCTATGTCACTGAACTCCCAAGTAGTTGATCACAGTTTGAGTCCCAGACCCGGTGGCTTAAACTCACGCCGGGCGCATGTGCATGTGTGCCCAAGATCCCAAGAGGAGAATGCAGGAGAAGGGATTGCGGCATGGCCATCACCCCTGGGGGGGTGACTTCTTGCTTTCTCTCTGTCTCTCTGTCTCTCTGTCCAGCATACACGCCCTATAGCAAAAACCTCTCCAAAAAAAAAAAAAAAAGTCAGAGATGATTTTTTTTAAATAAAGATTCCCCGAATCAATGATCATCAACACTGAATACATAGTGTATAGGTATCATTGTTATTTGTGTTAAGTGCAAAGTAATGTATGGGCTTCGTCAAAACATCAAACAGATGACTGCCTACAATACTGGGTCACTGGGAAAGTCATCATGCATAGAAAGACATAGAAAAATTCATCATGACTTTCCCAACGACTTCATAAACACTTCAGGAATTCTCCTACCCTATCTTATTCAGGTAGCGTTTTAATCTTTCCAGACCAGATTTTATTTTTGAACCAACAATTTCTCTTCCTTCTAATACAATTTATTCTTTCTACAAAGTTCTATTTCCCCTTTTTGTTGAGGGATGTGGTCTAGGTGGGTCGTAATACGTTTGAGAAATGTAGCAGAGGCCTGCTTCCATCGGGAAGCTTTAGGGAGGCCTCAGGACCTGGAACCTTCCCAGGGGTCAGCCTCCCAATGCGTCATGTTTTCTGCTGCACCACTGTCCACCCCTCACAGGGGTGATCTCTCAAAACCTAGTTGGAGAGGGGCCAGCCACTGACATGGTACAATGAGAGGCTAGATCCCACATGGCCGAACTGTGTGGTTCGAGTTCTGAATCCAGCAACTTGAAAATATGCCGGGCATGTATGTGTGCATGCCCAAAATCCCAAGAGGAAAGTGGAGAGAGGTTACCAGCATAGCCATTCACCCTCGGGGGTAGCATCTCATTCTCCCTCCTTTCTTTCTCTCTCTCTCTGGTGAGCACACAAGCCCTATAGCAAAATTAAAAACAAAACAAAACGAAAAGAAAAGAAATCTAGTTTGAGGAACATTAAAAAATTGTTCCCTCAAAGAGAACAGTTACTTTGTAAT